AGGGAGTGGTATTTTCTCCAAATTAAAGCATTCCTCTTGAACGTTGATTGTTTTAGAAGTGATCTCCAGCATTGATTTGTAGTGGTATCTAGAACTTCTGAAGCCTCTGTGACTGTGCTTTTGGGCACCTATTTCCCTCTGCATTGTCTTTCCTGCTTTATGAAACAACTATACATTGTCTAAGGGCATTAACTGGTTCCAATGTATATAAAATAATTTACTCTGTAGATTAAATCATACAAAAAAGGAAAAAAACAAAAACAAAAGCAACACTGTGAATAGTACTACCCGTGCTGGTCCTCTTGCTATGACAGCAATTACTGGGTATTTATCCCAACAAAAGTAGATACAGTAGATGTCTTGTAAAACAATAGTGCTGTGTCTCAATCTATGCCACTAGGTTTTAAAGAATTGCAAAGGTAGAACGAACAACTATTTCATATCAATAAGCAGTCAAAAAATAAACATACACCAGATGGTGTCATGGAGGTCTCCCTGGTCAGCATTCTCCCCTCCTGTATGGCTTGAAGATATAGCAGAGCTAAGCTTAGAGATGGGGGAGGTATTAATAAAGGTGATTTCTTACAAAGTACTAACTTCCCACCCTGAAGATATATTGCTGGAAACAGGGAAGTGTTTATAATGAACCTCTGTCTGAAAATAGATAAACCCATGCATCATGGGTGTTAAGAAAGAAATCAGTACAACTCTTCTGTTTCAAGGATGAAGGATCATAACCTAGAATGATAATGCAAAGTAAAGATCTTTAATTTAGTACATATCCAATAAAAACAGAGAATATTACATCTCTGCAGTATCCCTTTTATATCATACCAGTAGGGTTGTTTCTTAGGCAAAGGTTTCTGCTTTAAGTATGATGGTAGAATTACGCATTAGCTATTTTTATGGGTTTTTCTTGTTTTTTAGATTTCCTGCTGACATGATATAAACAATTAATATATATTTAACGTTATTAACAGGAAATATGAATCTGAGTTAATTGCACACCAATGACATAGTGTTAAAAAATACTGGTAAGTTCCACTCGACAATTATTTCTCCAGTGGAGTTGTGAAATACTAACAGCCTTTGATATTCACCATCAGGCTGAAAGAAGTTGATGTTTTACCTTTAAAACAAGATTTATCAGGGGTATATATAAATATATGTATATTGTATATATGTTAGAAAGAGTAAGAGAATAACTTATAAAAAGAAAAAAATCTATATGACATAATTATATAACCACCCAGTGTTACATGTTATCATTAAATTGGTAACAAATGGCATAAAAATAGCTGTGCCTTTAATTTGTGATAAAGGCTATTTGCTTTTTCCCATAGAAAGCTAACATATACCTATCAATATGGTGGGGTTTGATGCAGCCAGTCTGTTGCATTAATAAGAAAAATGACATTCAAACTTAGAATTATGACAAAACATACATGATTTAGGTTTAGAGAAAAAACTATTTTTGAAAAGGTTTTGTAAAGACTATTTAAAAATATAGGGAAGGATTGGGTGTGGCCTTCCTGAAACTGCTCTTAAAGTGTTGTAACCCTTAGAGAGGTATAAAGAATCAAGAGAAAACCATTTGAGAGATAGGTATTTAGCATTTATCATTTTGTATTTAAGAAACACCCATAGCGTGCTTGGTGCTCAACATTATACATGGTTTTTGGAGTTCTTCTCCACCATCTAGCTATAGAAATTTGTCATATAAATTAATCTTTAAAGCAGTTGGCTTTATATATCTTTTGTTAAACAACCAACCAAAACAAAAACAAAAACAAAAAAAAAGGAAGGAAGGAAGGAAGGAAGGAAGGAAGGAAGCGGGGAACGGAGGGAGGGAGGGAGGGAGGGAGGGAGGAAGGAAGGAAGGAAGGAAGGAAGGAAGGAAGGAAGGAAGGAAGGAAGGAAGGAAGGAAGGAAGGAAGGAAGGAAGATAATGTGTTCCATCAGTATTCTGGTAGAAAGAATTTCAAACCATGCTTCTCTGGTTAAATATATTGATTAGCATTAACATTTGCTTTTGAAAGTATCTGGTGATTTTGCATTTACCAGCATCTCAATTCTCTGGTTTTAGCAAGTGTTTCCTTTTTCACCTACAGAGACCCTATTAGTTCAGCCAGGTGGATAGTTGCCCATAAGTTTGTTGTTTGGGGCTCTACGTGTATCCCATGTGACCAGCTTCTAACCATTTGGAACTTTAGTTTCGCTTTTCTGCTATGTCAAATATTTTGATTTTTCATAGTCATCCTGAATCCCTATCCAACAACCTTTACAACTGATACAGCCTCACTTTCTGTTAGAGAACTTAGTGTTAATTAATGCAATCTCCCTGAAATGTGCTTTTGCTGTTCTTCCCCATTTTCGCCAAAGTGAATGAGCCAGTCCACCAGAAATCAGGGCCTGTGGGATACACAGGGTCCTGGGTCACAAGGCATTACTGTCTTTAATGATTTGCTGGGAACAAACAAATCAGCCATATTTTCTCCATCAGCCATATGAGAAAACTCAGAAATACCTGGATCCCTTCTGCCTCACTTCGCTACGGAACCATTTTTGTTTAAATGGTCTTTTAAATTGGAGTTGTAAGCATCAGTTGTCTTTTATTCACTACCTAATAAAGGATGAAGCCTAACCACAGAACTTATAGTGGATTCTCTGTGAGTTGTTTCCCCCGCACTCCGTATATTTATCAATACCAGATTAACATCCATTATAGTTCAGGCTGCCATAAAGCTGTATCTTTTCCCTTAGGGAACTTTTTTCATGAATAAAGATCCCCAATTTAGATCGGTCAGCAGTGTGCTGTGAAAATCCCTGAGGGTGGTCTGACTTTATGGTTATACATCCCTTCCCATGCATCACACCATGGCAAGGAAAGTGATAGAGAAAGCAGCTCTGATTCATTTGAAACAAATATAAATGCATTGCAGAAACCAAATGCCTCTGGAAAAAGCATTGTTGCACCTCCACCAGATCATCCAGAGAAATGGGAAACAGTCATTGGGGAGGTACTGTATTTCTCTTATGAGAAAACAGGCGATTACACATGATAAATTGCTCCTCTCACTGGACCTAAACTTTGAAGAGTATTTGTTTTATTCACACAAGAAAACATACTTGGCTTTTGGCAATTTATATCACCCCTGCCTCATTTGAAAGGATTTCTGTCTTTAGATACTATTGGACTTCTCCTGATCTATTGCAGTAATTCACTGCCATTATCATCAGAAATGAAATTTGGTTTTTCTAAAGGTGCTACATATTTTGTTGCCAAGAAGCTAGTTAGCAAAGGAATATTTATATGTATTTGAAAATTAAAAGAGCAAGAAATAATAAAAGACTAAAAATTAAAAGACAGCAGAAGTTTCAAAATAGAATCAAAGTGGCTGTGCCTATTTGAGTTTCTAAGACACAAACCAACACATAGTAGACATGAGCATTAAATATCACTTATTACAATTAAATTTTAAATTAATATCTTTGTCTTTGTACCAGTGTAATGTTTCAATTGTTCAGAAGAAATCAGATCACAAAGCTAAAAGATAACTGAAGTGGTATATAGGCCTCTTTCTTTAGATCTGAATTGATGTGGAAAATTACCTTTCTATACATAAGCATGGATAACATTGTATTAATAACTTTGTGCACCCAAAAGCAGCATGAAGTGGTGGGGAAAGCAATGAGGAGCCTTAGAAAAGCCAGGGTCTATTGTAGACTTTGTCCCTGACCAACAGTCAACTAATGCCTTGCCCTTAATTTCTTCATCAGTAAAATAGATGACGGCGATTAACAACTAAGCTGGTTTAATATATCAGCACTAGAGGGGCACTGCTTTTATCCTCTCAGGAATTAAAATTATTTATTCGAGTGACCAATACAGCTACTTACAAACTTGCATGTGTCCAGAAAAATATTCCGTATTCCTTCCCATCCTGAGTGTAAACCACATTGTAGGTCATTCATATGCTCAACCAGAATGTACATTTCACCAACTAATACTGGAGTAGTTGCTAATTCACTTAGTACTCACTTATTATGACTGCACTTATGCTAACATCATGTAAGATATGCTACTTCTATTTTTCCAGTCAAGAATGTGATAAATTCTGAACAAAACCAACCCTGAAAAAGTCAATAGCCAGCTGGCAGTGGGGGTGTGGAAAGGAACAACAATTTAAATGCATCATCCTTATTTCTTTTGTTGCACTTTCTCTCAATAGGAAGAGGTCCTGACTGCTTAGTCTAAGCAGTCTTAGACTAACTCTGTCCTGAGTTTGCATGTATTTTAACTAACAGTCACCTTATTAGACCATTTCTTCCACAGACAAGTATATCAGTTATGCACTCTTATCATTGTTACAGGAATTATTTAAACTGAGTCCTAACAATGAAAATTTTACTTGACTTTTGCTGATTTTTTTCTTTTCTACATGCGGAGATTTATCTCTGGAACATCTCTTGTGTTTTTGTACGATCTGCTTCAGTAACTAGAGAGGCTATTATCAGGAGGTGAAATGGATCATTTCTGTGGTAGGTCTCCATTGTCTACATAGTGCTTTTGAGAGTGGTATCAGGGTGTCCAGTGAAGGATGGATATGTTGACATGTCATGCTCATGTGGCCTAAAGGTTGTTACTGCCAGGAATGGACTTAGAGCTTACCAGAATGTGAATGGTGACAAAAGGCAAGTTCTACTCTGGAAAAATATCATATGTGTTATTTTATTAGAAGTTCATGTGGGTCATGAATCGTCACAGAGTTTAAAGAATTCTATGGTTGGGTCATCAATGTTCAGATGGCAAGGGACTGAACATTACCTTCAATTTGAGGGTCTTCTCTTTCCTCTTCTCAGTGATGGAAACTCATCCTTCCTAGGTGGCTAAATTGACTGTAGAAACTGCTAAAATGTATTTGTCAAATGAAGTAAAATCTGATTATTAATATGTATGATCAGGTAGAGTATCTTAGAGTTTGGTTAAGTTAACTAAGACAGCAGAGAATGGGGTCATGTTATTTTCAGACTGGCAGGTCATCTCTAAAGGCAATTTTTAAAGAGTAGGGGTAAAATGATTTGTGAGCAAAGAAGTATCATTAAAAATAAGTAATAGTATAGTGACAAGTTCTAAGGTTAATGCTTATATACACACACACACATATACAGAATTGTAAAACTATGAGTCTTAGTACCTGTCATTCTTATACAAAGTCATGGTAAAATCATTTTATTTTCAATGATTAGGTTGGTTTTACTTTAAGAAAAGGAACTCCAATTTCACACTTGGGAATTTTAATCATTTTAGTGCATTGGAGGGGCTGGGAAGTAGATATAATGTTAAGGTATTACGCACTCTAGCAGGACTATTATGCTAACAGTTTGAGTTGAGTAATACAATTGTATCATTTCACATCAGCTACTGACTTTGAGTATAGAATTTGAACCCTTATACAATCTTCCTCAAATCCAGGTAGTGTGCAGGACGTGGTATAACAAGACTACGGAAAATTAGCAGAGAGCACCTTAATAGGAAACCCAGATTGTGTTTTTGCCAGTATAACAAATATTTTTAAAGTCTCTCAGTAATAAGATTGTCCAACATAAATCTATTGAGAAACATTGATGTTAGAGAGTTTTGAAGCTATAGTGAAGTGTGTTACATTTTGTTAACCAAAAAACCAAAATGTGGGTTTTATTGGATGTTTGTCAACCCAAAGTAACACATATTATATAATTTCAGTATAGGACCCTAGGGCTAGGGGCAACTAATATTGGATAAAGACCCTTCGTGAGATGCTTTATGTCTCTTGTGATGTTAGGCTAACATTAGTAGAGATGAAAAAGAAATTAAGTTCGTGAGATCCTGAAAAGTTTAACTTTTATCAAATAGTCAAGAAAAATTCCATTTGATGGCATCTGGTTTTTAAACGGATTATAGAAAAATGTGTGGAAGTACTGGATATTGGTGAAAAAGCCTTGTGGCCAAGGGATCTGGGCACAAGATTGAGCATCACAGAACAGTGAGCACAGTTGTTGGCTTCACTACCAATCATCTACAAGGAAACTGGGCCAATTCACTTGACATTTTGATGATTCTCTCTGATAAAAATAGGGATAATGACTGATTACAGAAATGTGCTTTTAAAAAAGCTGAATTTAGTAAAAGCAAGTCATTTGCTACTCAAAATAGCTCCAAAATCTAAGCCATATTTCTATAAATTTCATAAAATTGTTTTAAAATGTGACTTATAGTTACAGGGTTTATATTACTACATATTTAAGATGGAACTGACCTAATGCCAAAGCTATATCACTTGTAGCTATGTTCGCTTTCTGTTTTGTCCTGAAAAAAGGTTGGAGTATTTTTAAAAATATATTTTTTAATCTGCACATGGAGCTATATGCAAAGAACATTGTTTCTTTGGGGAACATTTTTAGTCATAGTTTCTTTCAATTTATTTTATCAGCCAAAATCTTATATCAGTTTCAACTAAGGTCTCCTAACTTTAGTCAATAATTTCTTCTAATAATGTTTAATTCACTGAAATTTTACAACAAATTTTAAATTGACTCCTAAGAGTGGTCATTTGGGGAAAATTTAATGTTATCCAATGTATGATGAAATATTCAGCTTTCACAAAAACTGGATGTTTGGCTACTTTAAAATGGCTGTTCTTCACAATAAAACTACAAACAGACACTATCAAATAAATTGAGTGATAAGTACGTCTATTTACTAACATGAGCCAATTTGAACTTTAGTTTCGAGATCTAAAAATATCTTAATCCACATGCATTTAGTGACTATAAATTGAAGGCAGTATTCTTTTGACAACCAAGCTTCTTGAAAACTTGGCATTAATGTTTGCAAACAGGAGCACTATTTTGAAATTAAAAATAGATTATGGTTTGTTCTACATGTTTGTGACCCTGCAAAAAATTACTTAAAGGAAAAATATTCATGTGATTCTTCTCCTCTTATATTCTTATGGCTTAAAAAATATAACCAGGTTTTTATCTAATATCAATCTCTTGGCAAAGGATCATATAAGGTTTTACCTGCTAACAAGAATACTTCATTTGAAAGAGCATTACCACAAGCACTGGAGGGAGGTAGAGTTGACATGGTGAATTTGATTTTACAAGAACTAACAAAGCCAGGGAACAAAGCATTGACTTAATTATAATCACTAGTCACACCGACGTGAGATTCCGAATCGTTGGTCAGCCACAGTGATGCCACCTTGGCATCAAACTTGCCTGTTCCATCTTTATCAGTACATCTGGAAGTCTGACTTGAGTACCAGAAGCCAAAATGCTCACAATGCTAATTTATGCCACCTTAATGGCCCATGTGTTCAGTAAATAAATTTGCTTTTTACATCTTGTAAAATCTTACTGAATAAACCTTTCATCAGAGGTTCTATATATCCCCAGGTAGGCTTGGAAACTTGAGATAAGATTTTATTGTGTTGTATATTATGATAGTTGAATGATGATTCTATATGTTATTGTTTGTTTTCATTAAAAACCCAAAGAACTACCCTTTGTATGCCAGTAAAGTACTATTTTTTTCTTGAAAAAAGTAATAATAATAATAATTAAGGCAATTCACATAGTTTGTTTTATGCCAGTCTTCTATTTTAAGTTATGTAATGATATCTCCCCAAACATCAATTTCTCACCCTACATGATATGTGATAAAATCCCCCATATGCCAATAATTTCCCCCACTATAAGATGAAGCTGCTTTCAATATTATTGACTCAGAAATGTAAAATATAGCACAACTCATCTTGTTTGTGGTCCTGTGCTAAGTTAAACTTGCAGCTGTGAACAAATTAATATTTATTTTTTTCAGGAATTCTTTAAGATGAACTTTTCAGTTTTAGTAAAACAAAGACACTAGTGATATTTTTATGTGATGAAAGCTCTCTGGTTCCTTCAGCAGCTCTAGGAACATCCTTAGCCATTCTCTTATCCTCTCTCTTTGACAATATCAAAATCGTCCAGGTAAATGTAACATTTCCAGTGGTGTCAGGATATTGATCTGTTTATGTCCTTATTCTTCACTTGGTTTGTGGAATCAAAATGATTGCTTGTTTTCCTCTCTTCTGTAGATAATCCATAGACAATGTATTCAATTTGGTAAACATTTTTTTCATCTTGGTTTAAGTTTGAAGGCTCTAAGGAAGAGTAATATTATAGCGAATTATGTATTCTATATGTTCTACTCCACTTGTTTGTAATGTACTCCTGTTCTGAGAGTTATCGTTAACCTATATAACACAACTGTTCCAAGTGCCAAGTAAGAATTGTAGTGACTCACAGAACACATGTCCCATGACTATTTATCAAAAGTAATGTGTTGATTAAAGAAAAAAAAGTAAAACATTTTATTTTCATTCAGTTCTGAATGATGCTTGTTCCATTATCCCTTCCTTCTCCCTTGTTAAACAAGGTAAATGTTTTCGTACTTAAACTGACCACTTAGAGCATTTCAGTTAAATATAAGGCAGAAAAATAACATTACCCATAACTTTGAATCCTTGCGGTTGGCCTTTGCTAAAATAAAATTTTATTGAAGACAAGAGGTTGCAAGATGGTTGTCCATGTTTCCATAGGACTGAATTTTTTAAAAATTTTTAATTAGTTCCCAAACGTCTTTGGAAAAAGTGTTTTTAAAATGAGAATTTCTATAATTTATTTTCTATCACCTACTAAAGACACTGCTAGACTTATTAAGCCTGGTGGATAGATATGATCCAAACTTGAACCTTCGGAAAAATCATTTATCAACATTTAAAATTCTATAAGCCCATAAAAACATGTTAACACCAACACATGGAAAAGAAAATGTGTTGCAGTAAGTTCTCATTCATGTTCAAGAACAACAGGAGATGAAGCGTATGTGCACCAACTAAGGTTTTCTTTAACACTCTCTGAATATACAATGAATAATATACCAAAAATGAAAGGCTACAAATGGTATCGTATTGAAATGCAAAGACATGAATATTCAGAGAAAACTATTGTAAAAAGTATATTATCCATACAGTATATATTTGCTGCCAAATTGAAAATTGTCATTGCTAATTTTTTTTGTTCTATTCTGACAGGTCAAAATAATTTATCAGGCTCATTAAGTTATAGGTTTAATTATATTTCAACTCAGAGGAGATGAGCATGAAAGATATCAGGGACATTTCTCTATGCCTACCATTTATTACCATAACCACATTTAAATAAATGTGAATCTTGCATAAGTGAATAATAAAAGTTAGACCTTTTGACGTAATAATGATGCAACACAACTGTTGTCCTTGTATGCATTATAAAATGGAAAGTGGGATTGAATATTCTGCCTAACACTACAGGCTCACATCAATCTGCAACTGTGAAATCTTCCAGACACCAGAGCCCCACAGGTTATAGATTCCACCAATTTCCTGACTACTATGTGGTCAAATACCGGGTTCATCTATTTACAAAACCAGCCCTTTCTTCTATGTTAGTTCAAAACACGTTTCTGGTGTTGATACCAATTCTCCATCCCAGGGGGGAGCTATGTATGGATGACACACCTTATTTCTAAAAGAAATCTAGTTCGTGTGTTCAAAACATTTTACTAGGAAAGAAGAAATGTATCAGCAAGTGCTGGGAACTTTCTCTACTGGTGTTCTAAGGCTGATGTCTTCATAACTTAGCAAAAAGAAGAAGTAATAATAATACTAAAAAGAGGGGAAGAAAAAGGAAAAGTGGAAGAAAAAAGTTAGACATGATGTAACATTATAAAAACAACTTAAAATGCCCAAACATAACTCTAATAGGAGACTTAATGAACAGACTTTGTGGGGAAAACAGTAGTAAACTTTAAAGCCTCTGAAAGAATTATATGCCTAAGGGAAAAATAAACATTTGCTTCCAAAAATAAAATAAAATGAGAATTTCTGATTTTTCTTGAAAAGTTAAAACAAAAACATCTGAGAGCCCTGGTACTGAATTCCCACTAGGCATTTATTAGCTGCAGAACTAGCTAAATGAACTGTGACTGGCCCCTTTGGACTAAACAGAATTTTACAACTTTCTACGATCTATACTTGGAGGCCCCAGTCTTTGCTTTTTGACAGTCCCTGTAATCAGTTTGGTTTGCAACCCCCAGCATGGCTTATAGGTTCTTAGCCACCATGTACTCTTTTACTAGCTAGTCTTCAGGGTCTTCATCCGTCTACCTTCTCTCCCAATGGGTTCCTCTTGTAATGTTTTTCATTATTTTGGATAGGCATTTTCAATAAGGGGAGACTTATTTTTTTTACAAACAACACTTTCAATAAAGGTTTTCTTTACCAGAACATGACCTGTGACAAATTAATGACTTGAATGTGTGTGGGATTTCTTACAGTTGACACCTAGGAAATATTTGATTTGGTTTATGCAGTGGGTGACTATATCAAGAAACAAATTCTGTCATTGTGTGTGTGTGTGTGTTTCTCTGCAGGAAGGTTTGGCTTCTGCTAATAGCAGAAACTGGACTTTAGGAAGAAAGATCAAACATTTTTCATATGAAAACAAGTCGTTACCTATTTAATTCTCTCTTGAAGTTAGATGAAGAAAATTCGGAAATATTGTTTCTGAATATACATTTGCTAAATACATTCTGATTCTTTAGAGGGCCACTGACACTCTCCCCTAAATACATGTAACCTGTCAGATTATCAGTCTGAAAAAGATCTATACTAAAGTATTTTATCAACTTTCAAAATAACCCCAATTTTCCCGAACATTTAGGAACAGCATTTAAAACGTAGAATTATCCATCGCATGCTAAATATCTATCCTTTTCATCTGCCTGTGCAATCAATAAACTGATTCAATTAGCATTGATATTAGCATCTATACTTTTGAAATCACTAATTATCTAATAGCAAAGGTCTCTTTCATATTGTTTTGCTTAGAAATAAAAAATAGGGCTGTTCATAAGTTTCCGTTCAGTAGTCCAAGCCAGAAAGCCCTTGCCACAGCTGGATATGGAAGCTTGAATAACATACAACTTCACATTTCTCAAAGTGCGTAATCCAGGCATTATGAATAATTTCTAGACAAGTCCTAAGAAATTGTACATGATCTTTCTAAACAGAGGCTGGGAATTGTTATGCCGAAGCAAAAATGAAGTGTCAGGTAAGGTCTGATGCTGGGGAAAACAATTAGAACATTACTGAATTACCCTCCTGTTAAAGAGCTCACCTTCACCTTCAAAAGCTAATTATCAGTTTACCATGTTTTATTCATTAATTAGAATTATTTTCTGGAGTGTCAGAGCATTTCAGGTGGGTTGAGTTATGATGGAAAAGATAATCATAGCCTCTGCAAGTTTGTGATTTATTTAGCCAAAGATGCAGAACCTAAGGGAAGCAAAATGCTATACAGGGTGGTAGAAAACGAGGTCTATTTTGGCCACTGTTTCTTTTCCTCTGGATTCCTTTTAGGTGAGAGGTAGGAGAGACAGGGCCACAGTTGCCAGGGATGCTTGGTACAGATATGGTTCTGCCAGATTTATTTAGGAAACCCTATTTTATGCTAACTCACTGCCATTGTATACTTAGGTATATTCGTTTCCTTGGGCTTCTGAAACAAATTGCCATAAACTTTGTTGGCTTGAAACAACAAAAAATGTAGTCTCTCATGGTTCTAGAGGCGGGAAGCCAAAAATCAAAGTATTAGCAGGATTGGTTGTTTCTTAGGGGGTCAGAGGAAGACTGTTCCATGTCTCACTCCTCTGGTGGTTGCTGGCAATCTTTGGCATTCTGTGGCTTGTAGATATGCACTCCAATCTCGGCCTTTGTCATTTATTTGGCTTGTTCCTATGTGTCTTCACGTCTTTCATTTCTCTGCATGTTTGTCTCTTCTCTTTTTCTTATAAGGACACCAGTCATATTGGATTTAGAATTCATCCTACTCAAGTGTGATCTCATCTTAACTAATTACATCTGCTAACACCCTATTTCCAAGTAAAGCCACATTCTCAGGTTCTTCTAGAGGTAGAACTTCAACATACGTTTTTGGGAGAATCAAATCAACCCACAACATCAGGCTTATCTCACCCTTCCTAGAGAACTCACATTCAATTTGTACCCTTCCCTTTAAGGAGACATTTGCTATCTTAATACTTTGCTAGTTGTGAACGAAACCAGCATCATAAAGCCACCACTTCTATTGTTGAAATTTGAGGTGCAGGCAAGCAAAACAGGGCTCTGAAAACTATCTTTGTTCCTATTTTTTCTAAAAATGCTATACCTTGCTATCCACACCAAATCCCATTGTCTTAGGTTAGGTCCTCTAGAAGCAGAGCCCAAAATGGGCTTCTCAGCAAAGTTCTTTGTTATTGAAGGGGTACTCACAGGGGGAAAGGGATAAAGGAAGTAGAACAGGATGAGATAAAAAACTTGAGGTCCAGTTTCAGATTAGTCTCATAAGAAGCTCAAATATTTCTAGTACTTTTTAAAAATAGCATGTGATCATTAATACAATCCAAGGATAAGGTATGAAAAGAGACAGGTGCAATTAGAAGAAAAAAAAGAGATGCATAACATCAATTCTTAGTGCCATTGAAAGTTATGGGTCATTTTTAGATAGGCTGATTAGTCATTCTAGTTTGCCTGAAATACTTCCAATTTATGCCTGTTACACTGATGCAATCATTAATCATGCTCCATTTCAAGCTAAAAATTCTTTTATTTGTTTAATAAATTGTATGAGTTTAATCTCCTTTTTCAAATTTATAAAATAAGTGGACTGAAACAAGAACTTTTCCAATAACACAATTTTTATAGTAATTTGTATTTAATAAAACACATTGCTTATGAGGGAATCTAATTGAGAAGACATAAAATGTTTACCCTAGAAAAGTAATTGACATTTTAGATTACAAATAACATTAGTGAATGTCTTGTTTCTCCATCTGTCCATTCTTCATCCACCCATTTGTACATCCTTTATTAATATGCAGTTATAATGTACCCTATACTATATTGGATAGGAGAAGGAAGGGTAAATAAAACATACCCAGCAACATACTCTGTGCCAAATGCATATTTATTTATGTTTATTCATACATAATATTTTACTTATGGAGTACATGTGATATTTTGTTACGTGCATAGACTGTATAATGATAGTTAAGGATTTGAGGCATCCATCACTTTGAGTATTTATTATTTCGGTGCATTGGGAATGATTCAAATCCTCTCTTCTAGAAACACTGAAATATACAATATGTGTTCTTAACTATAGTCACTCTACTTTGCAGTGGAAAGATAGGATTTTTGCTTTTTATCTAACTGTGTATTTGCATCTGTTAACTACCTCTTCTCATCCTCCACTCACCCACTCAATATTCTTAGCTTCTTGTGTTTATGATTAACATTTTTAGCTCCCACACATAAGTAAGGACATGCAATATTTGTCTTTCTGTGCCTGGGTTATTTCACTTAAAATAGTGATATCCCCTTCCATCTTTGTTGCTGAAATACATGATTACATTCTTTTTTATAGCCAAATAGTGCACCATTGTGTATGTATACCACGTTTTTTCTTTATCTATTTGTTCATTGATGGACATTTATATGGATCCCATTTCTTTACCATTGAGAATAGAGCTGTGATAAACATGCCAGTACTGGTATCCCTTTGATATATTCACTGGTTTCTATTCCTTTGGATAGACCCTCAGTAGTGGGATTGCTGGTGAATATGGTAGCTGTATTTTTATTTTCTGATAAATCTCTATAATATTTTCCATAATAGTTGTACTAATTTACATTCCTACCAACAGTGTATAACAGTTCCCTTTTCTCCACACTTCACCAGTATCTATTGCTTTTTGTGTGTGTGTGTGTATGTGTGTGTTTTCTTGTTTGTTTGTTTGTTTTTTTGCAGTGAAGAGGTGGCTTTAACAAATATATTCTCCAGAAATCTCCAGAACCTTTGGTGCCACCACGATATAAAGAGAACAGCTGAGTCCTCCGGGTAGGCTTCAGGTGCGATCTGCACAGACCGCGTGTGTGGGAGGCACGGAGTCAGAGGTGCTTCCTCAAATGCATCCCCCGTCTCTGGCAGAGCACACAGGCCCCAGGGCCCCGTGGACAGGGTTTGTCCCAGCGTATGCACGTCACTTCCTGGGTCTGGGGGGTGGTACCTCAGAGGCTGCCCGCAGCAGGAAGCCCACGAAGAAACCAGGGCTTCTTGTTCCACTTGTCAGAGACCCCAGAAGGAGCCAGAGGGCAGCATCAGAGCCTGCGGCCCAGGCAGGGGTGCCCAAGGGCACAGCAGCTGCAGACCATTGGCAAGGCCAGAAGATGGTGAGTGGAAAGCAGGGGGCCCGTGGAGAGACCCCGAGAAGGGGCTGTTTAACTGGGAGTCCTGCATTTGCCGTTTGTGTTTCATCTGGCGATTTTGAAACCAGGTTTTTATCTGGAACTCTGAGAGCTGCATCTCCCTGGCCAGCCTCTTCCGCTCCAGAGGGCGCGGGTACTGGTGGTGCCGGAAGACGCCCTCCAAGGCGCGGACCTGCTCCCTGGTGAAGGCTGCGCGGACACTGGAGGCCCGCCCGGCGTTTGGCTCCTTACTCAACCCAGCCACGGCCCTCTCCGGCGCAGGCAGATTTGAGGAGCTAGCCTCTTTGGTGCTGACGACCTGAGGGGTCTCCTGGGTGCCGAACGTCTGGCCAGGGCCAGGGAGGCTCCCCGGGGAGACGTCGGCAGGCCTGGGGGTGTGGGTCGGCCCTGAGCAGCTGCTCTGGGAGACCTAGTCCACGGAGCCAAAGCTGGAGGGCTGCTGCCAGCCACGAAGTGGGGAGGAGCAGAGACGCATGGCGGTCAGGTGGGTCGGAGGGAAAGCCGGGCGGGGCTGGCCAGGCGCAGGATCCAGCTCGCTTTTTGTCTTTTTAATAATAGCCATTTTAACTAGGATAAGATGATATGTAATCTTTAGTTTTGATTTGTATTTCCCTGATAGATAATGATGCTGACAATTTTTTCATATACCTGTTGGCCATTTGTATGTATGTATTCTTTTGAGAATTGTCTATTCAAGTTCTTTCCCGCTTTTTTTTTTTTTTTTTTTTTGAGACACAAGTCTCACTCTGTCACCCAGGCTGGAGTGCAGTAGCAGAATCTCGGCTCATTACAACCTCTGTCTCCCAGGTTCAAGCGATTCTCCTGCCTCAGCCTCTCAAGTAACTGGGATTACAGGTGTGTGCCACCACCTGTAATGCCTGGCTTATTTTTGTAGTTTTAGTAGAGATAGGGTTTCACCATGTTGGCCAGGCTGGTCGTCTTGAACTCCTGACCTCAAGTGATTCACCCACCTCTGCCTCCCAAAGTGCTGGGATTAAAAGTGTGAGCCACCATGCCTGGCTTCATTCTGCTCACTTTTTAATGGAATTTTAAAAAAATTGTTTAATTGAGTTCTTTGTATATTCTGGATATTAATTCCTTGTCAGATGAATGATTTGCAAATATTTTCTCCCATTCAACTGTCAAGTGGTTGTCTCTTCACTCTGTTAATTGTGTCTTTTGCTGTGCAGAAGCTTTTTGGTTTAGTATAGTCCGGTTAGCCTATTTTTGTCTTAGTTGTCTGTGCTTTTGAGGTCTTAGCCACAAAATCTTGGCCTAGACTAATATTCTGAATTGTTTTCTCTATGTTTTCTTCTAGTAGTTTTATAAGTTTAGGTCTAGCATTTAAGTATCTAATCCATCTTGAGTTGATTTTTATAGATGAGGAGAGATAGAAGTCCAGTTTCATTTTTCTGAATATAGGCATCCAATTTTCCTAGCAACATTTGTTGAAGAGGTCGTCCTTTCTCCAGTGTATGTTCTTGGTGCCTTTGTAGAAAATCAGTTGACTGTGATACGTGCATATTTTTTCTGGGTTCTCTATTATGTTTTATCTGTCTATGTGTCTATTTTTATACCAGTAACCATACTGTTTTGGTAACTACAGCCTTGTAATATATTTTTAAGTAAGGCAATGTGCTGCCTTCAGCTTTGTTCATTTTGCTCAGGATTGCTTTGGCTATTTTGGCTCTTTTAGTGTTTCCTATGAACTTTAGGATTTTCTTTCTATTTATGTGAAAAATGACATTGGTATTTTGATAGGAATTGAATTGAATCTGTAGATTGCTTTGGGAAATATGGTCATTTTAATGATAACCTTCTGATCCGTGAGCATGGGGATGGTCTTATCATTTGTTTGTGTCTTCTTCAATTTCTTTGATCAATGTCTTATAGTTTACCCTACAGAGATCTTTCATCTCTCTGGTTAAATGTATTCCTAGGTATTTTATTTTTTGAATTTGTTGTAACTCACATTGCCATCTTTTTTTTTTTTTGGCTGTTTCATTCTTGGAATATGCAGCTGATTGGCTGGCGCCGTGGCTCACGCCTGTAATCCTAGCACCTTGGGAGGCCGAGGCGGGCGGATCATGGGGTCAAGACATCGAGACCATGCTGGCCAGCATGGTGAAACCCCGTCTCTACTAAAAATACAAAAATAATTAGCTGCAATTGGTGGTGTGCGCCTGTAATCCCAGCTACTGGGGAGGCTGAGGTAGTAGAATCACTTGAATCCAGGAGGTAGAGGTTGCAGTGAGCTGAGATTGTGCCACTGCACTCCAGCCTGGTGACTGTCTAAAAAATAAAAATAATAAAAAATATATATATATATATAAAGTAATGCAGCTGATTTTTGTATGTTGATTTTGCATCTTGCAACTTGACTGAATTTGTTACCTCTACAAGTTTTTTAATGGAATCTTTTGTTTTTCTAAATACAAGGTCATGTTGTCTGCAAAGAGGAACAATTTTATTTATTTATTTATTATACTTGAAGTTCTAGGGTACATGTGGACAACATGCAGGTTTGTTTCATATGTATACATGTGCCATATTGGTGTGCTGCACCTATTAACTCACCATTTACATTAGGTATATCTCCTAATGCTATCCCTCCCCCCTCCCCCCACCCCACAACAGGTCCCAGTGTGGGATGTTCCCCATCCTGTGTCCAAGTCTTCCCATTGTTCAGTTCCCACCTGTGAGTAAGAACACGCGGTGTTTGATTTTCTGTCCTTGCGATAGTGTGCTCAGAATGATGGTTTCCAGCTTCATCCATGTCCCATGTCAAAGGACATGAACTCATCCTTGTTTATGGCTGCACAGTATTCCATGGTGTATATGTACCACATTTTCTTAATCCAGTCTATCATTAGTGGACATTTGGGTTGGTTCCAAGTCTTTGCTATTGTGAATAGTGCCACAATAAACATAAGTGTGCATGTGTCTTTATAGCAGCATGATTTATAATCCTTTGGGTATATACCCAGTAATGGGATAACTGCATCAAATGGTATTTCTAGTTCTAGATACTT